AGTCGCACAGCACCCATGCTATTGTGTTCTCATTGCTGTGTGGCTGCCCTGTTGTGTTGTTGCATTTGTGTGGCTGTACTGCTACAATCAGGCATTGTGTTGCTGTATGTACGTGTGTGTGTGTGTGTGTGTGTGTGTGTGTGTGTGACGAACATGCATGACAGTTATATCTGGGTGTTTCTATATCACTACCCATTTCCCAGGGCTGTTGTAAACAAACCCTAAAGTTCCAGAAGGACATGAAATATCAGAATTGTTGTATGCTTTGGCTATTTTATTGTTTACACAAAAACATGTCTCAGTTGTGTTGCTACCTATTTGCCTTATCTCTTTGCTATGTTATTGTGCTTCTTTTGTATCTTGACTCCCCCAGAAAAAATAAACTGGTCTCAGGGGTCTATAATTGTGCTCCCCTCAGGTTTAGGTTTTGTGTAGCCTCAAGGGTCCTGACACTATATATCAGTTTCCAGTTCTGGCTTAGGGCAGCCTCTCCTGCCTCCATTTTTGTCTGCAGGCCCACACCCTGGCACCAGTCCCAGGAAGAGCCTGAAAATGCCCAGTTTTGGGTGAGCCACATGAAGGTGACCACTTTTACAAGCAGATCACTAGGAACTTGTGCCAGTCCCCAGATGCCAGCCAGCAGATGCTTTCAGTCATGGCTGAAATAGATACAGCAAGCCAAGCCAAGGAGCTGGCTCTGGGCTGACTCAGAGAGGGCACAGGATTTGAAGAAAAATGAGTATTAACAACCAAGTCCATACTTTATCCCAAGGACAGGCTGCATGTATTGCTGGTCTATTTTTCTCACTAGGGGACGAATGAGGACAAGATGTATTCCACTGACACCCCTCCCCCACAACGTTCTGAATCAGGGTAAGGTGTCCATTGCCCAGCCTGGTCTCCTTCCATCTGGAATGGGGCCAGGGGTGACCCTTTGCAAAGTCAAGAAGTCATAAAACCATAGGATTTAGAAGTAGAAAAAATAAAATTTTAAAGCAGGAGTTCTTTTTTTTAAGGGGGCAGGGAGGCAACTGGGGTTAAGTGACTTGCCCACGTCACACAGCTTGTGTCAAGTGTATGAGGTCACTTAACCCCATTGCCTAGCAAAAACAAACAAACAAACAAACAAAAAATCTGCTTTAGGGATAATCCAGGACTACCCCCTCTTTCTAGTTGAGAAAAATGAGGTCGAGAGGGAAATGATTGGTCCTTGGCCATACAAGTAACAAAGGAGGGATGGGAACACCAGTGCTAGCTAGATCCACACTATGCTCTTTCTTCAGGCAATGAAGTCTAATCTGTGGCACCCCAATCTCCTTTTTCCTCATCCCCTTTTTATTTTATACCCATGATCATTTTTAAATGAATCTGATTGATCGACTAATCCTCCAAGCCCTGCTGAGAGAAGTCTGGGAAGAGCCAGCTCCAGAAGGTACCTATTTTTTCTAGTTTTGTCACTTTTTAATCACAAAGTAGTGCTCAGGGCTCACCCCCAGGCACTAGAAGCTTTCAAGGTGAGCTCCCGTAACAAGCTCCTATTTCTCCCTGAAAGGGATAGGGAGCTTCAGGCCATTAGCCGAGGGGACTCTTATACTACCCGAAGGTGACTAGAACCTGTTCGAATTTTAATTACTGGATTGAGTATCAAGTTGGCCCCAGTCAGGCCACTGAGCTGGTGGCTCTTATTGGATAGACTACTTGGAAGATCAGGAAAGGAGAGGGACATGAGAAGTACATGCAGCTGTGAACTGCCATGTTCCCCTTCCCTTTATTGGTGACCTTATCTTTGTTAAACACAGACCGGCAGTACCAGGTTTAAACTCTTGCCCCTGTTGCCTTGGTAGGGAACCGGTGTGGTAGGAGACAAAAGCACTACATTTGGGGCTAGGAAATCTCATTTTGAATCCCGGCCAGGCCAGTTATTCTCAACCATGAGGAAGCCATTTCCCCCATCTCAGCCTCTGATCTGGAAAATGAGGGAGCCGGATAAGATTAGGGGTCTTAACCTATTCTGTGTTCTGGACGCCTTCGGCAGCCTATGCAAGCCTTCAGATCCCTTTTAAAGGCATAAAATAAAATACACAGAATTACAATTGAAATATATTATATTGAAATACAGTTAGCAAAATGTTAAAAAAAAAAAAAAAAAAAAAAAAAAAAAGCTCCCGGACCTGCAGGTGAAGATCCCCTGGATTACAGGGACCCAGTAGGATTGCTTCCGGAGCAAAGATCTTTTGATCTAGAATGGCCCTCCAAAGTGGGCTAGAGGAGCATTTGACTGGGAATCAGCTTGGGCTCTCAGCCCAGCCTGAGAAACATGTTGTAAGCTATCATACAAATGTGGGCTGTAGAGATTGTTATAGGGAGTCCTTCCAGAGAGCGTTTGCAGAAACAGCAGGAGAAACGGGAACGAGCACCTTGGCCAGAAGCTAAAGGGTCGCCAGCAGGTGTCTAACATTTGAAAGATCAGAGCTGGGACTGATCCACATGGGTAAAGGGAGTTTACCAATGAGGATGAAGTCTGAGGGTCCGACTTAAAGACGTTGAGGGAGCAGCCTTCTAACCTATTCTAGTCTGTTATTCAGTCTTCTTAACTTCTTCTCAACAAACCTCTCATCTAAGTTTAGAGTCCAAGGCCCTATTCACCCAACTTGAGATCTGATTGGAGAATCATTTAACCTCCCTGAAGCCTACAAAATCAGGCTCCCGAGTCCCTGATGTGTTGTATGAACTGGGAAAAAAAAAAAAGGATTTATGGTTATTTGTTGGATATTCACAAAGGATATTCACAAAGGAGTCAACTCAAACCAGCTCATGAGAGCTGATTGTTAAATTTTCAATAAAAGTACCTCGGAAATTGGTAGATACTACAGGCTTGATATGGTTTTGTTGATTGTTTAGACTTACGAACCTGATGGAGAGAATGTTAATAATGCACACTAAACTTGAAAGCGGGTCCTGTTTTTTTAAGAGAGCTGGTTGTTAAACATTTACAAGCACAGTTGTGGGCATTGGTCCATTTCTAAAGTGTCTGGACTCTGAACAGGGTATGTGAGTGTGGAAAAATACTAACACATCCAATAGGTCCAATGCGGATGCCTAACACCAAGGGTCATGGTTCCACTGTAGGCTCTTCCTATAACTTTTCCTAGACAGTCAGGGTTGAGGGTAGAGATCAAAGATGGTTTGGGCTTGAAGGACAGTATAAAGGAGATCGGATGTAATGAAGCCACCCCTGAGAGTCTAGGTGAGGCAAAAGAACTGGAGAAGTATGGAGGTGGCACGGTAGATAGAACGCTGGGCCCAGAGTCAAGAAGATCAAAGTTCAAATCTAGCCTCAGACACTTACTAGCTGTGTGATCCTGGGCAAGTCACTTAACCCTGATTTTCTCAGTTTCCTCAATTGTAAAATGTGGCTAATAATGGCACCTACCTCCTAGGGTTTTGTGAGGGTCAAATATGAAAACTGTGGAGCACTTAACACTGGGCCTGGCATATAGTAAGCACTATATAAATTATTGTTGTTGTTATTATTATTACATTCCCCACTCTCATACATTTTAAACTCCTGAAATCTTCCCTTCATATAATTTCTTCCAAAGACCAAAATACTTTCTAAATGGATGTAACAGTAGAAGAAACACTGGCCTTTATTTGAATATAGATGACTTATCTCCAATACTAAATGAATGCATGACTGATCAATTCATCTCTGCTCTCTGAATCTCATTTTCCTAGTCTGTAAAATGAGTGGAACTCTTCCAGTTCTAACATTCCACAAGTCTGTGTTTCTTCAGTCAACAGACCCAAAGTCAACTGACTATCTTTATCATTGCACAATCTTGACTCTAATCCCAGCTCAAAGATACTAATGAGGTCAGAGGGACCTCAGAGAGAGGAAGGACAGAATTTACATTACAGAATTAGGATTTAGACCCATTCAAATATGAGATTACCTGGTTTCACCCTTGACTTGTATAAAATAGCTGAGACACAGCCAAGGTCAGGGACCAAAGCCCAAGTCATCTGCAACTAGGACCTAGTGAGTTTTCCCATGACATTTGATGGCTAACTTGACCTACAGGACAGGTTCTGACCTGTCCCTCTCCAGGATAGAGGGGGCAGGGGAAGGGAATACACATTTATGGAGCATTATTATGTGACAGGCACTGTGCTAAGCACTCTACAGTTATCTCATTTGATCCTCGCAGCAACCCTGGAGGTAGGTGCTATTACTGTCCACATTTTCCAGATGAGGAAACTGAGGCAGAGAGAGGTTAGGTGACTTTCCCAGGGTCACACAGCTAGTAAATGTCTGGGGCTGGATCTGAACACAGGTCTTCCTGACTCTATTCGCTGAGCTGCCCAGGTAAAAAGAAGAGAAAGGAAGGGGTGGGGGAGGGACCAGTAACTGACTCCCAACTTCTCCACTACAGTTTTGTGTTCATTGAGAGACCCAAGTGCACCAGCCTACTCACTCACCTGTCCTGTCATCCACATCATCAAACTCCACCATGACGGAATGTCCATTATTAGAGATGCTTAGCGACATGCAGGACTCATAAGCCAGGACCAGGGGCTTCAAAGTAGGGTCATAGACAGCCCGACTGGAGACAATGTCGATGGGAGACTGGCGGTCCCCTTGGGCAATGGGGTATAACTTGTGCCATTCAGAGGGACCTGTGCAAGCAGGATACCAGAAAATAAGAGCATCAGCCCTCCACACCTTCTCTCACTCTGTCCCCTGTGTCCTCTCCTACCATCCCCACCTGTTGGTATCCTACCTCTCCTTCAAGGACCAGCTGAAATGCTATTACCTCCAGGAAACTTGCCAAAATCCTCCCCTAAGGAAGCAACATCTCCTTGCTCTGCCTTCAGAGTAATTCTGAACTCCTCCTTTGGACTTCTATTCTAATGTATATCATATATGTCCATGTGCCAAGCTGAGACTCTCTACCAGACTGGAATTTCTTATTTATCTTTCTATTTTTCCCAGTACACGCACAATGCATTGCTATTATTGGTTACTTAAGAGGCATATCATGGGACAATTTGGGTAGGACCAGGGTTGTTCTCTCCGAAGTCATCTCCCCCATTCAGGACAGCTCAAAATATCCATTCTGTCCTTTAACAGCCCATGATGGTAGTGAGCATTGTCAGGTTATGAATTAGGTTTTAGCCTGACTGCCATTAACACACTAGGACCTTGAACTTTTCTGATTGAGGCAGTTAGGTATCACAGCAGATAGAGCACTGGGTCTAGAGTCAAGAAGACTGGAGTTCAAATTCTACCTCAGATCCTTACTAGCTGTGTGACCTTGGGCAAGTCTTTTGACATCTGCTTACCTCCGTTCCCTCAACTATAAAATAGGGATAATAACAGCACCTACCTCCCTGTTTTTGAGAGGATTATATGAGTTAATAATTGTAAAGCACTTAGCACAGTACCTGGCTGGGTTCTTTGGGCTCCAGATCCATTGCTCTTTCCATCAATTCTGGTGACAGGTTTAGGGGAATGGAAGCTTTGATTACAATGAGGTTTTGGTTAAGCTGTGGATTTGATTTCTCTAGAATACCTTGCTCACAGTAGACATTTAGTAAATGTTCATGCAGTAAACTTGCAATATGTCTACTCTCCTAGGGTCATAGGAAACCTGGTACTCATGAGGGATTCCTTCAGTGAGGAAAAGTCCAGTCCAGGATGATCTCCCCATGGATACTCTATAATCTGAGCAGTGTTAGGGACTCACCATCTAGGATAAGGAAGGACAGACAGATTGCCTGTGTTCCATCATTAAATCCTCATCTACTCTTAGGTTGGTTTTCACTCTTGGGAAAGTCATTGTATATGGCTTGGTCTTCAATATAAGTGAATGCACATCCACACCTGGGCACACATATGTACACTCTCAGGAAGGCATATTCAGCTTTGAAAAACACCCAAGAACAGTCACTCGGCAAGCATGTATCAATGTTCACTTGTTCATACCCACACATACACAAATAACACAATTTATGTAAGGCTTATTGGTAACAAGGGGAACATTGCCTCACTTGATCTGCACATCAGACCCCGCCACCCCCCACCCCCATTTTACAAAGGCGGAAGCTAAGCTTTAAACCAGGGTCTACATAGTCCAGAGCTATTAACCTACAAGTACCTCCTACAAGACACCTGTGCTCCGGCATATAACCAAGCATTCTAATGCCTTGCCTTACGTGTATGCACACATACACACACCTATCAAGCATATGTTAACACAAATGCAAACCTTTGCACACAATGGATCATACAGGTAGGTAGATATACTCATTTAAATCCACACCTTCCTGCCTCTTACCCACATCCAGGTGTTTGTACCCAGTCACACGTAATTCACACAGAAAGTCCCCAAACAATGCCCCTCCAGCCTCCCCCACACAAACCCACCTGTACAGGAAGGCTCATAACACTTGTCTCCCTACTGGCTCCCTGACTCTGAGGGTCTGCCCTTGGGACGTTTTCTAAGACTCCATGGGGAGAACATCCTTCTATGACTATTTTTACCAGAGGCTGGTGGGGCTTCCTCCCTCTCCCCCTTTTTAGCTTTATAAGTTTTCCTGGGGAAGCTGTGGCAAGTGCTAGGATTCAGATCAGATGTGCATGACTCAGATTCTCACAGCTCCTGCCTCTCTGTTTATTTTTAAATCCCCCTTTTTTTTGGCCTGCTGTAAATCGTCTCCCAGGAAAGCAGCTCCTCTGATGAGGCTCCCCACCCTGAAAGGGCAGAGCTGAGCAGGGCTACAGGCCATCCTGCTCCTTGGTGGGTGCTGGTGACTCTGTTGATGAGTACCTGTTGTGCTGCTCTGACGAAATGAGCAGGGCAGGAAAACGATGTCAACCCAAACTCCCCCTCCCTGAGTGCAAGGGAAGCTCAGAGTGGAAACATACCCACGCTGGGCCTAGATCAGGTGAAATCAACATGCTCTTAGGTATGAACTCTCTGTACTCATTCCTTTCTGATTGTTATTGCTGATCTCCATCTCATTTGCATCTCTTTCTTTATTTCTGTCCTTGTTTGCTTTTGTCATCCTCTTTGTCTCTCTGTCTCCATCTCTCTCGTCCTTTTCCCTATCTTTCTTTTTGTCCATTTCTCTCCTTGTGTTTGTCTTTCTAACCCTCTCCATGTACCTCTATCTCTTTCCCTACCAGTCTTTCTACCTCTTTCTCTTTTCAGACACAAGTGGACTTAGGGCCATGGCTATACCATCCACCCCCATGCCCCCAAAAGCCCAGAGTTAAAGTGGAAGCCTTGACATATTTTCCACTGATGATCTCGGTACCACACGTTCCTTCCTAGTTAAAAATGACCCATTCCTACTCTCTGGCTCACATTCTCCATCTTCCTCTTTTGTCCCCTTTTCTCCCCCAGTCCTTGACTGAACCCCTAAATGTATTTTTCTTCCCAGAAAAGGACCCAGTCAGATGCACACCCTCTCACACACTGGGGGCCTGCCTTCCAGGATAGGCAGGATCCCCCTCTTTCCCACTCCCATGACCCCTCCTCTTCAGAAGGCTGCCAGGACAACATGTGTTTCAATGAGTTCTCACTCCCAGATAGCTAGGGGCCAACTCAGGTTTGGGCTTCTGCAGGCTGGGCCCCCTCCCCCAATTCTACCCTGGTTGGCATGGGAGGTGGGGGGAGATGTTCTCTGTAGGGCTGAGGCTGGGTGCCGAAAGAGGAGCGAAGTGTAGCTCAGACTTTGCACCCACTTAGCTGTGTCCTGGTCATCTTGGGAAATGGAGTTTGGGGTCATAAGAGCATAAAATGTGATATAGAGCTTTGAGATTATCTAGCCCAACCTCCTCACTTTAAAAACAGGGAAACTGAGACCACAGAAGGAAAGTGACTTGCCCAAGGTCATACCAAGGGGGTAAAGAGGAATTCTGGGTCCTGGCCAAAGAACAGATCTGAGGAAGTGGATCTGGATTGAGGGGAGGGCGGGGAGGTGAAGAAGGGAACTAGTTCCCATCTGAAAGTAGGGTACAGATTGGGAATGGAAGGTCTGGGAGTCCAGCAAGAGACTGAGGGCACAGGCTTCCAAACCAGGGTAGGAAGGAGTTGGTCTGGAGTCATGCCTGGGGGAGGGAGCCAGAGGATATCTAGGAGGTGAAAGAGGCTCTGGGGCATGAGCTTGGGAAGCGGGGGCGGAGATTCCTGGGTCTCCGTTAGGCACAGAAGCAGGGAATCCAATCCCCGCTGAAGGTGGGAGGTCCCGGGTCCTGCCTGGAAGCAGGAGCCCTGGGTTCACGCGGCACTTAGGAGGGGAAGAGCCAAGGGTCCAGGGGCCTACATTTCGGGACGGGAGTACCATGTCTGTCTTCCTACCGTCCTCCTGGCCGTAGCCCCAGCCGTGGTGGCCGGTCATACCGCTGCCGCTGCCGTAGCCGCTGCGCACCTGTCTTGGCTATAGCTCCGGCTCCCGAGGCTCGCTCTGCGCGGAGCCGCCGCTGAGCCCCAGCTTAAAGCCTCCGGCGGTTTGGCTGCGGGTGGAGATCCTTGGGGACCCGCCTCCCGCACGCATCCTGCCCCACCTCCTCTCTCCTCCCCCCCTGCGGGGCCAAGGGCTGTGAAGTTGGGGAGATAATGGGACAGGGACTGGAGAAGGGGAGGAGGACTTTTAGCCGCATCCGAGAGAGGCTGGTTGGGCACGTCTTTCCTAGATTGGGGGAGCTCTGAGGGGTAGGCAAATTTGCAGGTGGAGGGAAGAGGGGTGGTGGTAAACAGCTGCCGATGTGGTATGACTTGAGTAACTTCAGGCAGAAGTCATCAAAAACAACAAAAAACAAAACAACCCCCCCTTCCCTCAATATCCCAGGAAACTATCTGTTATCTAAAATTTCGCCATTAGAGATTCATTTATTGGGTTGGATCCTAAGGCTTTTTGGATCCCATAATTCTATTATAAATGAATGAATAAAGCATACCTAGGAGTGATGACACTTTAAACCTCTCTCTTTGAGTGACAAGTCATTGAGAGAAACGTTTCCTTTATGGGGGATGGGTCAGAGGACAGATGCCAGAGAGGGGGAACCTTATTAAATGTATATGGGAGAGCCCTGGAAACAAACTTCACTGGCCTTCCATTTGGAGGAAGTTGGAAGATTTTGGGAAAAGTCAGATCCAGACTTCATCCCCTCAGGATTCCCTAGAAAGGCAAAGCCCATTCCTAAAGAGGGGAAGTCAAAGATTCTGATGAGAGGGCTTCACTTTTGCCACTAAGAGGGGTTTGGGATCAAAAGAAATAGTTGATATGTCTGGGCCACTTGGAATCAAAATTTTAAAGCTGGACAAACATAAGATCATCAGAGCCAGAAAGGACCTTAAGAATTCAGAATGTTAGATACAGAAGTGATCATAGAGATCATTTAATTTGACAAAATTGTTAATGTAATTGTTAATATGACAGAAATTGTCAATACCAAATGTACTAAGGTCTGCCACTCCCTTAAATGCTCCATGTAATGTCAAAACTTCAGTCCTGTATTTGCATTCCTACTCTTAAGATATTTACTCTTGATTAGGTTGAGCTGATTAGGTCCCCCCATCCAGAGATCTTGCCTTGTGGGGGAACCTGGTTCCAGCTGGATTTAGGCCTTTGATGTCCTTGCCCCTTTCCATTAGGATTTGTGAAATGAAGGGCAAAACAGCCAGAATGAAGTGATTTTTCCTGTCCGGATTGCCAAGGGCCATTAAGGTCTCCTGACCAGGACTTGCTACCTCACTTATCTCCTCCCCGTGTTCTCCCCAAACTATAAAAACTTTTTTATGGCTCTCTTTGGTTGGGAAATCCACTGGACATCCCACAGGGCAGCAGGTCTGCTACCCTGTTATCTCAAGTAAAGATACTTTAATCCTCAACTCCTGGTTTTGACTTATTTTAGGACTTGATAAGTTCAACCATCTCATTTTACAGCTGGGAAAACTGAGGCTTGGAGAGAGGTAGTGACTTTCCCAAGATCATACAATGTTTGCTATAGCCTGGGTTAGAACTCATGCCTCTCTGTTGGGGGCGGGGGGGGGGCAATTTTCTTTTGCCATCTTTAACAGAAATAATAGATAGCTAGGTGTCGAAGTTGATAGAGCACCGGCTCCGGATTCAGGAGGACCTGAATTCAAATGTGACCTCAGATACATAACACTAACTGTGTGACCCTGGGCAAGTCACTTAACCCCATTGCCTAGCCAAAATAATAATAATAATAATAATAATAATATGAAGACCTGTTCTTTCTATATAGTCTTAGAGATCCAGCAAGAGAAAAATCTAAATGATAGAGTAGGGAGTAGGGTGGGGTGAAGGGAAGGGACCAGAAAGATAAGAGGGGTAGAGAGTCTAACCAGAGAATAAACTCTATGATGGCAGGGTCGGGGCTTACTCATCTTTGTGTTTTCCCCAGGGTTCAGCATAGGACTCCAGGCAGACTAGGATCTTAATAAATATTTTGTCAGTCAATAAATATTTATTATGTGCCAAGAACTGTGCTAAACAGAGCTGGGGAATACAAAAAGATGCAAAAAATAATCCCTGCTCTCAATCACTGAGGGCTCATTATCTAATGGAAGAAATAACAAGCAAACAATTTGTTGAATGGAACTGAATTGAGAAACTGACAAAAATGAAGGCATCTAAGGAAGGGTGGATTTGTGCAAATTAGAGTAAGAAGGTAGAACTATGTAAATAAAGGAGGAGGTAGAGTCCAAACTGTGGGCTGTGTAGGAGAGGATCATAGAATATTCCAGCTGGAATGGACCTTAGAGATCATAGTGCAGTGGACAGGGTGATGTATGTGGAGTCAAAAGACCTCGGTTCAAGTTCTGATTCTCCAACTTACTTATTGTGTGACCTTAGGCAAGTCGTATAAGTTCTCTGGGCCTCAGTTTCCTCATTTGGAAAATGAAGGAGTTGGGATGGATGACTTCTAGTTCCATTCCTTCATTTTACTCAGGAGGAAACTGAGGCCTAAAAAAGGGAAATGTCTTACCTAGAGTCACACACACTCGGGGTGGAGAGGGCGGGGTAGTTTAGTGGTGTAGTTGGGACAAAAACCCAGTGTTTTTGATCGTCCAACTCAGTGCTTTTTCACTGTACCAGGCTGCTCCTCTAGAAGAAGGCAGACTCTTGGATGGGAACTAAGTAAAGGGAGGGCTGTGGAAGGCCTGTAAGCTGAAAGTCATCTCTATGCTTTGTTACCACATCAGAGAATTCTACAAGAGACAGAAAAATTCCATGGTCTTCTCGAAGTGGATAGGATGCTAGGCTTGAAGCGGGGAAGATTAATCTTCTTGGGTTCAAGTCTGGCCTCAGACATTTACTAGCTGTGTGACCCTGGGCAAGTCACTTAATCCTGCTTGCCTCAGTTTCTCATCTTAAAAAAAATGAGTTGGAGAAAGAAATGGCAAACCACTCCAGCGTCTTTGCCAAGAAAACCCCAAATGGGGTCACAGAGTCGGACGCCATTGAAACAATAGAACTACCTCCATTCAGTCTCAGAAGACAACAGATAGCCCAGCCCAGCAGCCCTGCCTTTGGTGGCAGGCAACCCACCCACTGCCTCCCACTCACCTGAGTATGTGCATCTGTGCTGACAAAAGAAAGAGAGAGGAAGAGAGAAAAGTCATCAGGCTCATTTAATTATTTAATGAGGCCTCATTATCATTCCATTAATCACCCTCTGACAATAATAGCCCAAGGGAAAAAGTCCTGCAGGATAAAGTCCATGAAAATTGCGGGTTAATAGAAAAAGGTGGTGCCCAAACCATGTATTTAATCTGGAGGTAAAATGAGGTATCTTGAAGGTAAAGAATTCACACCGGTTGCAAAAGGTCTCCTTAACTAGGACTTTGACACTAGGTTTGTCATGGCTGGACATGGCCACCTTAAGGCCAGAACCTGTTGTTAATCTTAATGTAGTTAGAGCTAGGCGGATCCTTCTTCCTAAATGGAAGCCAGCTCTTCCCCTTCCCACCCACCCCTCTCCCCATCTCAATCTTATTTTTCCTATTCTTTTTTCTTCTCTTCCTCTTTTTCTTCTAGACCTGCCCAGTCCCACCCCCTATTTTTCCACTGTCCCTCACCAAGATAGTATCGCGTCCATAAATCTAGAGTACAAAGACCAATCACGTCTCCAGGGGGCAGCTGGATTAGAGAAGGGGGAGGTGAAGCAGGCCTGGGAACACCAGTCTAGAATCTGAGAATTGTGGAATCAAGAGGTAGGAAATGGCTCAAAGGTTATCTACTGCAGTACAACCTCTACTCAGTACAAATATCCCCTCTACATCATTCCTGACAGCTAGAAAAATATTAAACTGAGCACCAAGGAGTCCTAGGTTCAAGCCCTAGATCTGATGTTTGCCTATGGTAGGACACTCCTAGATCTGATGGAGATGAAGTGTTTGTGGAAAACAGTGGGGAACAGGCACTAGGGAAGAAAAGCGTGGGGACCTAACCACGGATTAGGGGTATGTGCACTAGTTAAACAGCTAGGATCTAATGCCTTTCTGCTTATCTAAAGAACTTCACACTTGGGACAGATAATCTTTTGTTTTGATGAGCCTTAGCCCATTGAGCTAAGACTGTCAAACTAACAAACAGCCACTGCTTGAGGGGAAAATAAATCAAGGAAAGGTTCCTCTTTCCTCTAGTCTGCTGGTGTTTTGGCTCAGTGAGTTAGGAATGTTGTTCTCTAGAAAGACTCAAGTCTTTAAAACTAAAAGAATATGATAGAGACTGCTCTTCTCCTGAGGAAGAGATGGCTTTCTAGCCAAGGACTCTAGTTGTAGCTAGAAGCTGGCAGCAGAGAACAGCTCCACAACTCTGAGTCCAGAGGCATAGCCCTTAGGAGTGAGCGGCCAGCAGCAATCAAAAGACCAATGGAAAAGTATCTGAAAGAGAGAAAATGTCCAGTAAAGACAATTTATCTCATAGAGACCCTATACATCTGGTAGAGACAAAGTGCTTGTGGAAATCAATGGGGAGCAGGCACTGGAGAAAAAACATAGTGATATGACCAGAAGAAATCAGTAGCCCTACAGCTCCAGACGCATGAATTGCTCTTCATATGCTCTTCTCTATGTTCATTCTTCTCATGAATGGCATGTTTATCTGTAGAAACTGTGCCACAGGTTTATATTTTTTGTTTACTTATCAGTTTACATAATCTTCCTTTCCCCCAATAAAATATGAGCTCCTTGAGAATAGGGACTGTTTTGATGTTAGTTTTTTTTGTTTGTTTGTTTGTTTTTGTTTTTTAAATCCCTGGTGCCTAGAATACTGCTGGACACATAATGTTGTAGTTGTTTGGTCATTTCAGTTGTGTTCAATTCTTCATGACCCCATTTGGGGTTTTCTTGGCAAAGATTCTGGAGTGGTTTGCCATTTCCTT